GCTGCATAGTTAAACTAGGAAGCAAAGCAAAACAGCCTGTAAAGACATTTTCAGAAAATCATGTATACAATTTTTTAAACTTCCTCATATAAACAAATATTGTACATCCTTTAAAAAGTGTCACTTCAGTATATAAGATATCTACACGACTAAACAGTCAACAACAGCAATACAAGAAGCACTTTTCCAAATCACCACTTCACACTAACTAGTGAAACAAACTGTTGTGCTAATAAACCAAATATTGTATCTTGCTATAGCCCTTAGATCAATTATGGCATTTAAAGATCATATGCTGGGGACCTCCGACGATGCTACCTTGACTCAGCTATAAAGGTGTGTTTCTCTGCCTCAGTCTCTTAGTTGGCCCTTTGTCCATCTTGCTTCTCGTTGCCTTTAAGTCTTCAGTACTTCTACTACGAGGTCGTTATCAATTCTACAGTGACCATTGGGGAACATCATCTACATGTTTCTCTCTTGTATAGATTTCTTACTAGTCTTATTCCATTATCATTTATCTATTGGTGTTGCATTATATTTATATTCTGTCTACCTGGTATACAACAAAGGTTGGTAAAGGGAGACATAAAACGAACAACTGATCAAAAAAAAAAAACTAAATCCACAAATTCGAAAAAAGAAAAATCACGCTTGGACATATTATGTGTTACCTTCCTGCAGGTAAAAAGTGTAGAGAAAAACTCTCAGAATACAAGGATTAAAAAAGAGGCTTTTTCAAGAAAAGCATTCATTTGCTGATTGACACATAAACGAGTGATTCCTGAGAGATGCCTTTCTGCCCAAAATAAAAGTTTTCAGTCTTTGAAGCGTCAACAGCCCCGAGACTTGGGATTTTTTACTTTGTGTTACTTTTCGGTCATAGAAACAAAATTTACTCGCCGAAAATAGTGCAGAACCTGGAAGAGGAAATTGAACAGCGACCAGCTGTCTGGGTAACCAGTATGTGTACCTTCGTTACGGTATTTAAAACAAAATATTGCAAAAATTTCATCCTATGCTCTAATCTTCCCCTAAATGCTATCTAACAAAAAAAAATTGCTAATGCTAGGATTCCTTCATCGGAAGTTGGAGAAATCCAGCGCTGACTGTCCTTAACGGCCATTTTTCATCGGAGGGCAGTCCCAGTGGAAAAATAACCAAGATGTCTACCGCCACAATGAGCTGACTGCAGCCACCCTCCCACCTCTCAACCGACGTAAAAAAACTCGATAGGTCAAAGGAAGGAACCGTCCTATAGTGCTGATGACTGATGGTAGAGATCTAGTTTTGGCTTTGGTTACGATTTACCCAGAAAGGTGAAGAAAAGTGACCCATCCATCGCCTC